GGAACCCCCCCCCCACCCCCCCCGAGGCAGCGGAGCGGGCCGGTAAAACCCTCTGCCCCACCGGCCCCGTAGACGCGGGATGTCTCTGCGTCCCGAGCCAGAGCCCGGCGGCTCGGGGCGGGTGATCCTGGATTGCGCACCTCGAGAGCCATGCCAAGAGGAAACAAGATTAAACATTTCTCAGTGTAAATGTTTACTCAGCTCTAAGAAAAATGGGCCCCTGACCAAAAATCAGCAAACGAGAGCGCTCAGGTCCTGCGGGCAGGGGAGGAGAGCAGAGACGAGCAGCCAACCCCCCCCCAGCCCCGTCCTCGCCACTGCGGAGCTGCCCGGCGAGCTGCGGCCGCGCTCACGCCAACCGTGCGGCGACAGCTTGGAAGAGGACGACTTTGCGGTGAGCTCTGCCCCGTGCTGTGCTTCACCAGCTGCGTTAAGCAGTGCCTCTGCTTTCCCCTCTCCCTCTGTTACTGTTTGGGGTTTCTCAGCTATGGAAAGCTCTTCTGCAATGCTTTGAAATCCGATTAGGAATTGGGAAGGGTTCAGGGTTTTGTTGTTGCAGGGGGGTAAACCAACAGGGCTGGCTTCCCACATCCTCTCCCTCCGCGCCCCGGACACATTCCAGATCCATGCCGTAACGCCTTGTAACCGAAGCCAGCAGGTCGCGATACGCCGCCACCGTTCCCCCGCCTGGAACCCGGTGCTGCTTCTTTCTACACCTACAGACGCACCACCTTATCACAGGGCACGGCAGCCACACGCCCCGTTCCAACGGCCCCAGCCTTCCCCGTATCCAAGGAGATAAAACACACGGGGTGGAAACACTGACGTCACCCCGCGAGGACAGGACAGGCACTCTCTGGAAGCCTGGGGAAGACAGAAGTGGCTGGGTGGCTGTCCCTGCTGCCCCACAAACATCCTGGTTCACCTCAGAGCTCCTTCAGCTGCACGGCTGGAGGTTATTTATCATTTATAAAAACCCCCAGAACATCCTCATGTCTGAAAGCCCGTATCCTCTGTGGTTCAGAAGAGCTGCTCTGTCCACCCCAAACCCAGTGTTCTCACTGACATTCTTGAGGGGTGACGTTACTGCTCGTGCCTCGCTGCAAATAGGGTATGTGGCCTTCAAGGAGCTGGAGAAGCTTTTCTGGAGACGGTCCTGGCGTCGACTGCCCCTGACGCTGGTCTCTCTCAGCTCCTTCCCCACAGGAGCTCACCCAGCTCAGAGACCCAGACCCCACTGACCTCAGTGCCCTGCAAACACAGGGAGAAATTAAAAGGCAACCCTTCTCCCACAGAGCCCAGGTCTGACAGGACGGGGCAGTCTGAGGGATGAAGAGTTTTACTGCTCGTTTCACCAAGGGGCAACACGGCCACGCACACCGGCGCTGAAAGCCACGGTCTCGGGTCCGTGCCGCGGGCGTTAAATTCTCCTTTGTCAGCACGCAGCTCGCTCTCTCTTGCCCTGATCACTTTTCTCAAGCAACGTTAAGCAGGAGGGAGAGTCAGAGGTGTGATTTTAATCTTTCCCACCGTGGTGAGGAAAAGCTCTTGCTGGGAAAACAGCACGGAGCGATCACCCTCAGGATTGGGGTGAGAAGCGCAAGTGAAATAATTGAGGAAATGTAGAAAATAATTGAGTAAATGCTCCGTCATTTCCTTCCCCTCGCGTTGCCATGGTCACGCCCAAAGCAAAGCTGGCTGAGCTATCACCGCCGACAAGCTGCCACGCCTCTTGACAAGACGCGACTCCGCTCTTGCCTCCGTTTAAATTAACTTAGAAGGGTAAAGATAATGGCAATGAAATAACGAGGCTGCAGCTCTTCCACGGGCAAAGGCCAGCTCAGACAGTGAAGTCAGTCCTGGGACTCAGGACTTCGGGGAATGCATGGGAGGCTGGGGAACGCCTCTTGATTTCCCAAAGGCATATAAAAGTATCTGGAACTTGCATTCCAAGCAAGGGAAAACACATCCGTGGGATGATGCAGCATCTCACCCAGTACCGGCTGCCAAAAGGACTACCGAAGCAGACAAAAAGTCTGTTTCAAATGGGGAGAAAAAAATGTGTGAGCAGTGACCTTAAAATATACAGTATTTGAGACAAACTGACAATTAATTTCTCTCTTGCAAAGATCTAGTTATGGGAAACAAGATGGGAAGAGGAAAAGCGGGTGGGCAAGCGTTGTGAGAAACTTCAGTGACGATACTGAGGGTAGGAAAGGCAACCTCAAATGCCTGAATTTTAAGAAAGGTGGAAACTTATTTGAATAATTGCAGTCCAATTTCTACAGCAAAGGGTTTAAAGCTCTCTTCTTTTTTTCCTGAGCCTGACGTAAGGCTATTCACACGTCTGACCACATTTCTGCAAAGAGCTGTGCGCAAAACCAGTGAGAAACATCTTCGGAGGACCCTGGATCACGACTTGAAGGAACCCCTCGGACTCGCTGCGTCCTGTTTTCTCTGGTAAGTGAATTAATAAGCGTTCCGCAGGAGGCTGCTGCCAAGGAAAGCAAACACGCTGTTTTCACTGGCGAGCGAGTTAAAAAAACCCTGAAGAGCTCCGACAGTGCTGCCTTCGAAGACTGGGCTCTGCTGGCGCCGCGGGCCAGGCTGCTCGGGCACCGCTCGGGAGGAAGGGCAGAGGGGAGCGCGTGGTTTGGAGGGGCGAGACCTCCGCCTTCCCCCCTGCTGCCCAGCTTCTCTGCTCGCAGGTGCGGCCGGCGCAGCCCCGCGCTCTGCCCAACAGCAAGCCCCACTCCCGCAGGCCACTGCGAAGGACGTCACCGGCTCCGTTTCGAGGAAGAGAAGAAGAAAGGCAAGACTTCCGCGAGAGCCTGAATGCTCCTTCCACACCAGGAAATAAAATCCTCCTAGCGTGAGCCATCACCAGGGGTCAAAGCCTTATTTTCAGGCAACACTTGATTCCTGGTGCAAGACAGGACGAGGGTGACGGCTCAGAGTAACGGGAACCTTCCTGCAGTCAGTTCCTCACCAGATTCTCCTCCTGAAGTCGGCTGCTGGTTGGCATCAGCAAACCCAGCCGTGCCACACTTAGAAACCGGCAGCATCAGGGTGTCGATATAAGAGCCAGCGTTAGAGCTGGGACAAGGACCAAGGTGAGGGTTGAGGAGGGGACGTGCTCCACCACCGAGGATTACGGCCGAATCCCGCACAGCCCCACCTTCGTGATGCCCTGTACTCGGATTTTAGAAAGCAGGGCATGACTTGTAAATTAAAGACTAGAAATCAGGATTACGCAGCTGACTAAAGGAGAGCCACGGACTAGGGTTACAGCTGCCGCAGCAAATGAGTTTAACGAAGAGGTGGCACCAGCTAACTGAACTCGCCCGTGTGTAGTACTTGACCAGCAGCGGATGTCCATGCAGTGACCCAGGCTGGGCTGGGGGAGCAAGTGTGGTGGGGGTACAGCTGGTGACGGGGGGTTGCAGGTTCCTCGCTGCAGTTAGCTAAGCTTAGTGAAGCTGCGTTAAACTCCTGCCTGTTTAATTCTGGGGCGTTGAACTAAGTTCTGGTTAACGGCTGGGTTAGGGGCTTGGTCTCCAGCATCAGGTCTCCTGCTG